CACGACGACAGCTTGGTTATCTGATAAGGGATAAACCAAATAGTATTCATTTGAGTAGTTTCTTACTGAAGGATGGAGAATACCATAAGGAAGCTAGGGAGCAGATTGCGAAGGCCTGGCGTCACATTCATAGGAAGAGTAGGAAAGACCTGGGACCTAAGGGGGTTGTTTCTTTGGAGCCTTGTCTTCATTGGGTCCATACGAGACCTATTTAGTTGAAGATGTCGTATTCTAGGGAAGAACCTATTCTTGACTTGTTTGTGAAGACCACTCCTCCCTTATTAGATGATGTGGAAGAGCTACAGCTTGCTTTAGTCAGGATGCAACAGGAAAAGGATGCTTGGAAGAATAAGTGCCAAACTTTAGAGATTTCCTATAGAGTAGACTTGAAGGAGAAAGACGACTTTATTGAGATTCTTGAAAGTCGGGATGTAGAAAAAATGGAGAGGCAAAGGGGTTTATTTTCTCCTAAGCCTCAGTTAGATGCTAGTTGCTCACTTCATGATTCAGGTGATTGGAAGGAGGTTACCACCAAATATGCGGAGGAAAACCAGAGGTTGAAGGCTCAGATTTCCAGGCTTACAGGGAAGCGCCAACGTACAAAGAGATCTCCATCATCTTTACTTCTTAGGGTTTTAGACTTTGTTTTCATCTTGTACTTGGGATTATTGAAACTTGTAATCCATTTTGAAGTTGTTATAATAAAAAAATTTAGTATTTCAAATGTGTTATTACTTTGATATTTGCAATGTGTCTATAAATCTTTAAGTCCCTTAAAATATTAATAATAAAATAAATCATGTGCATTGCATATCATGCATCATATTGCACATATTTCTTGCATTTATTATGCATATCCAGGTGTCTTACCAAGCTTCTTTACTTTGTTCAGCAAGTTGTCTCACCACTACAATACTCGAGCTAATTTCAGAAGGAAGATGGACAACTTAGAACAAGAGAATCGTGAGATGTGCAATGAAGTTTCTACTCTGAAGGCCGACATGACCAATCTCACTGCTCCGATGGAATCTCTGGTGGCTGCTCAGAATCAGCCACCGAGTGTTCAACCTCAATAGACAAAGGTTACTACTTAAGCTTTGACTGTTCCTGTGTCTGTTACTTCAGCTGTTATTCAGAATCGCATACCTCAAGGTTGTCCATGGGGAATGCCAGAAAGCTTTGTGCCCGAAGGTTTCAATCTTTGTCCTCAAGTTACTCTAGTTTTTCAGACTACTGTTACTCCTGAAACTCCTGTAGTGCATGTTACTCCTGCTGCACCTCCTTCGGTGAATATGGTCCCATTTGCTAATGATGATATGTATCGTCCTTTTCCTCCACCAAGTGAAGGCTTGGGTCTCTATGATATAATGGATGATTTTCAAGATCAGTTTGATAAGATGCAGAGGGAGATGAAGGCCCTCAGGGGAAAGGAATTTTTCGGGCAGAATGTGAATGATTTATGCTTGGTCCCGAATGTCAAGATACATGTGAAGTTTAAAGTCCAGGAATTCGAGAAGTATAAGGGAAATAATTGTCATCGTGCTCATCTTGTTATGTATGTAAGAAGAATGTCTACCCACAATAATGATCAACGTCTGCTGATTTACTTTTTTCAGGATAGTTTGATTGGTGCTGAATTGAAGTTGTATATGAGTTTGGACAGCGTCAATATCCATACTTTCAACGATTTGGGAGAAGCATTTATCATACTATACAAATATAATGTGGACATGGCGCCTGACCGTGATCAACTCAAGGCCATGGTCGAGAAGGACAGGGAATCATTCAAAGAATATGCGCAGAGATGGCGTGAGGTAGCCTCCCAAGTGATTCCTCCCATGTGTTGCACCCCAAAATTTGCCCTCCTAATTTCTTTTATCTGGCTTAGACTTTTGCATTCACATCTTTCTATTAGGTCATCTGCACTATTATAGCATGCATTTGTATTGAATAAAGTGTCGGAGGTTCAGAAGTTTGGTAGGTGTACAAGGTAGGGTTTTTTGCAGTGAACTGAGGTATAAATGTTCAATAAAGTTTGAGTGCCTTGGTTCGTTCCTCAAGTGGTGAATTATGAATTAGGTCCTCCTCTTCCCAAACACATGTTTTTTGTGCATGGTATAAGATGTGGCCCCATTAATAGGGTTCAAGTCGCTCAGTTGGATTTCTTTCAAAGACATGTGGATCATCTATGTGGTTCTTGTGGATCATGGAGTAAGAAGCTTCATTGTTGTGCTTACGCTTATCATCGAAACTAGGGTTCGTCTCCCAATTCATATGGCTCACTATCATCCAAGGGTCAACTCAATGGATTACTTCGATTACAAGACGTAAACCATGGTTCTGATTCAAGATATTAGAGTTTATATTAGTCTATGTTTCGCTCCATCAATCAGAGATCTGTGTATCATGTTTCAAAGTTACTTTTCTGGTTAACTTTGGGCTTGGGATAAAAAGCATCTGGTAGTTAAGATTTAATTCTGAGTCTATGGGTTCGTTAATCAAGCACGCCATTTGAAGCTACCTGAGATTCAACTTGTCATGAACGATCGAGTTGCAGATGAGGATTTATTTAAGATTAACACGGAATAGAAGGTTTTGATACGGTTCAAGAATAATTCACTTAACTTTCTTGGAGAATCAGTTAAAAGTGGTATTTTATTGATTGAGGTTAAGGTGTTCGCATCCAATAAAAGCTTATTTCTTCTGATTCTTTTGTTTAATTCTTCAAGAAGTGAAGTGATGAATTAGGGTTTTTAATCTTTTATGGCCAGGCTTGAGTGGGTTTTCGTCTAAGATGTATTTCTAAATACAATCAAATGATTTTCTCAAGGATGAATATTTATATTTAAGTTTTTTCATTAGGGAGGACAAATCAAGGCGTCTTCTCGTGCGGGGGTTTTTCATCCTTTAGTCAAGTGTGGTTTATCTGATGATGGCTATTGGAGACTCGTCTTTTGTCAATTCAAGGCATGCCTGTTGCTTAAATCATAAGGTACTGATTATGGCATTAATGCACTAAATTCGTCCGTTCTTTGGTCAATCAATCAGGGTTGGATGCATCATGATCCTAGGTATACTTTCTGATAAGTTTTTGTTGCTTAAGACTCGATTCATGAATAATTGGTACAAGCCAATCCTTTTAGGATGTTCATTCGAAGGCTTTAAGTTCAAATTGAGTTGTTAAAGTCCATAATCGAGAGATCATTAGAATGTTGAGGTTTTGGAAAAGGAAATGAATTTCGTTTAAACAACATTCAAGATTACGTCTAATCCCATTCAAGTCTCTACTTTGAACCTGTGGAATGCACAAGTGAGAAGTTAATATTCCAAAATCAGTTTTGATTGTTTAACGAATATCTTGTTGAACTCACTGCATGATTACAGGATCTTATGCAAAACCTTAATAATAAAAAAGGGGATTAGATTTTCAAGTATAGGTATTTCGTCATTTGAAGTCAAGAATTCACAAGGTTACATAACCATTTAAGTTGCATTCGTATCTTCACTCAAGTTCTATTTTCCATTATAAGAAGGCTGCAAATCTCATTCCAATTTCCATCACTATTTTCCAAAAGAAAATAAACCAAATATTACTACATTCAAAGTGTATCAAACACATGAAAAAAACTACACAAATTGTTTGCCTTAATCCTAATGTCATAAGCTTTCTTCATTCTGCTCCAAGTAACTTTCTTCATGCCTTGCCTTTGAGTGCTTCAACCAAATCTCCTATTTTCTTCCAAGCTTCAAAACCAAGCTGACAGTTAGACAATACCAGCTCTACATATATTTGTCAAAATCGTGCCGAAGAAGTCCCAAGATGCTTGAAGAATCTTGCTCCAAAGACGCCATATAAACTATGCTAAAACGGCTACCGTGATAAATCCTTTTACAATCTTACGGTTAGCATAATATGCTAATGGTCATACCCAGCCCTGCATTTTGTAAACCAGAAAAATAGAAAGAATCAGCTTATAATACGAGCAATAAAGCCACTTCAGTTCACATATTCATTACAGAAAATTCAAACAGGAATCATTCATAACAGAAGTATTGGTTTTTTCCTAAACCCATTCCAAACCAACTTCTAACTGATTCAAAGCCAACTGTAACTAACTTTCACAATCATAACAAACTTATAGCAGAAAACATAATAGAATGTTCTAATTGTTTCCTAACAGATTTTCTAAGCCTCCCAACTAATCATAACACAACTGTTTTCTAACCAATTTCTAACAGAATGGACTCTTCAACAAACTTCCAGCTAGATATAACAGAATGTAACAGGAAGAGAAAAAAAAGGAGTTCGGATTCCATACATAACAGAAAAGGCATAACCGAAAACTGGGAGAAAAAAAGAGGAGGAGGATCACGATTCAGATTGATCCACCATAATTTATCAGAAAAAAATCACAATAAGAAAGAAGGGCGAGGTATAGGAAACTGACCAAAAAAAAGATCTTTATATACTCTGTCCATTCCATCATCATCAAGATCATCCTTCAACAACACTACAAAAACCTCATTCTTCATCTATTCTCTGAAGAGCTTCATCATCTCATTTTCCCCGCACTTTTCGTAATTACATGGCAATAACTCAAAGGCACAAAGAGGAGAAGAAGAAAACACATAAAATTGACAGAAGGAACTTGATACCTTCCTCTCTTCAACTGACTCGGTGGATCTTTTTCACATCATCATCATCATCATCGGCTCCTCGAGAGATCCCTTGCTTCATATATTCTGCATCACATCAAGACTTATGCATCATCTCTATTTCAACCTTCATCAACTTGCTTCACTCTCTTCACAGTGCACCATCATCAAGCATAACCGCCTCAACTACACAGAAACGCAGAAAGCGCAGGAACATGTAATAACAAAGAAGAACAAATTTTAAGAATCGTACGAAGGAGCATGCATACCTGATTTGCAGTTCTCTGGTTTTCTCGTCATCATTGTTAAAGAATCACGGTCCAAAATTCTCTCACCTGGTACTCCTAGTCTTCCTCTTCTTCAAACTCTATCAGGGCCAACTCTGTGTATCTCTTCTTCAAATCTTTATTGTCATCATTCTTGAATCTTGGAGAATCACCAGAAAACCTTGAACATCTCTCGTATTCTTCTCTCTCTGCAACCATGATTCAGCAGGATCTCTGCAGCTTGCAGCGTCTTCATTTTATTCATTCAACAACCTTCAACAATCCACAAGAATCACAACATGTATAGCAAACATCGCACAATTTTGCAGTGAATTCAACAACATCACTTCAATAATTTCAACACGACATCGACATCACAACCTGCAACATCGATCAATACAAATTCACCGTTAATGATTCATTCAATGATAGAAAGTAAATCAGAAGAAGAGCACTGAAGATAAAGAGAAACAGAATTTACGGCAAATTGATGCATACATGGTTTCTAATTGCAAAGCTTTCTTAAGATTGCTTGACGACATCGTTATCCTAAAAGAAGTGTCAGAATCATATCGGGTAGGGCGAGATAGGGGTCTAAGACTGGCGGAGGTAACCGTGTGTATCACGGCGACGGATCGAGGTGAACCACGGCGGTGCTACGCTTATGTTGCTCAGAGAAGAGGCGAATGAATCGAGAGGAGCGATGCGAGAGTGGAACGAATCGGGGATCAGTTGAACTCCACGGAGGCGGAGGGAACATTGATTCTCAAACATTAAAGTTCTGTAGAGGAAACGGCACCGCGACGAAGAAGGGAGAAGAAGCTCGGTCGTCCCAATTTTCTAACCCTAATACTCTTTCAATTCGCACGTTTTTTTTTAATTTTATTTGTTTTAATTGATTTTTTTATTCTTTTAAACACAACAATAAAATCGAATTGAATAAATAGATTAAAGCATGGACCGAAAATTTCTCATTCTCAGGCCCATCATCATGTTTTTTTGGTAGCCCTTGATCATGCACAAAAAATGCTTATTAGATTCATTTCTGTTGGGCTCAGAATTCACTTACCTACAACATACTATTAAATCCAGCTTCACACCCCCTGTTCATAGTCTTTAGTTAATTCTTTAAGCCCTTTTATCCTTTTTTTAGAACTAGTGAATTTTAGGAGATAATAAAAATGGCTAATTAGGAATATATTAGAATAGAATTCGGTTTCTTTTTATATTTCTTATGTGAAAAATCCTAGAAAATATTTTAGAATTTTAGATTTTCTTCTTAGAATTTTATTAAAGTTTTCTATTATTTTGTGTTTAATAATTATTTTCAATGTCACTTTTTAGCTAAGATTTTGTGATAAAATGATTGATGGAATTTTTGCAATGTGGAATGCCAGGAGATTAATTCTTTGATCACTCGCGCAGAGCAGCTTTTGGTATAGTTTCCATATTGCTTTCACGGTTTCAAAGAGGCAACGGACCTTCTCCGTTCGGTATGGTCACAACCCTATTTTACTCCTCATCTCCGCATTTATCGCTTCCTAGAGATCATGTGAAGTATAATGACATTTAGTTTAGAAATAGACTAGTCTCCCCTTGGCTTTTCTTTCCCCTTTTGCATTTGCACTAAAACAAAAACTTCTTTTCCTTACAAACTTCAAAAATACTTAAAAATTATTGATGAGAATCGTGCCTTTGTTGAACATGGGAGATGATAAGCGGGTCTCTTCTCGATCTTATCGTTTTTCCATTCTAAGCCTTGGCATGGTTCAAGTCTCAAAGACTCATTTCATAAACAAGTAGAGAAATGGTTAATATCTCTCTCTTGAGATCAACTAGCCGTTATCTACAAGTAAAAACACCAACAAACGCAAAACTCTTCTTGCCTTCGGGCCTTTTTCTACAAAAAAATTTCAAAAGAGCATGTTAATTCACTTATGTGCTGACGCGTAAGTCTCCAAAGGTCGAGTTGTGGTAGAAGGCGAAATTAATATTGTTCATTAAAAAATACAAACCAACAAAAACATGTGAGCCGAACCACGGCTGCTCTGATTCCTTAAAAGGGATACGTAGGCATCGGGGTAGGGCCCAAACGAGCACAACTTTTATTTTCCCTACATTCTTTTCCCCTTTCTTTTGCATGCATTCTCCCTTTAGCAGTAATAAACAATAAGCAGATTAAACACACCCATAAGATAGATAACAAGAGTGGATACCATAGAGTACTACAGGCGTGTGGGGTGCTAATACCTTCCCCTCACGTAACAGACTCCCTTAACCTTATCTATCAGTCGCAAAACCGTGACTTCCCCCTTTTCAGGTTTTCTAGATGTTTACCTTTCCCTTCCTGTGGGATAAAAAACTTTCGATGGTGACTTCATTGTTTGATGATTTCCAGCCGATTGTTTCAGCTGGCGACTTCACTTGGGACAAGTTCGACCAAATACTGGTCCATCCCAGAGTCGCTCCTAGCTCTTGATTTCTCTTTCTTTGGGTGTTTATTTTTTTACGCTTTCAGTTTATCCGTTCATTTGGTATATACTTGAGCATATGTATGCATTACACTTTACTGTCTTCCATATACTGTTGTTATACTGGATCTACTTCTTGTTTGGGTGGGGATGTTACTATTGAGGTAAAAGGCCCAGTACCCAGGCCAGAGTGCACTAGGACACCTAGAAATAGAGTGGGGGAATGACGGCTATAGGACGTGGTGCGATTAGTGCAGTCATGTCATATACCACGCTCGGATGAGGTTCAATTGGAGGTACTTTCATCATGCACGTCTGTGTTGCGATGATTTTACTTTCAAGCGAGCCCGTTATTTTCGAGTTACCATTGTCTTACCCTGACTTAGTCTTCACACGTGAGTGGGGAGGGAATTCTTATCACAGGTACAGTTGGTGACTATATTCAGACGATTACTTTTGGTTATGTCCTGGATTTCTGCCAATAATTATGAGTTTCTCAGATTTATTTTCTGAGGATCAAACTATGATCTTCATGGATTTCTTTCGATTACGTTTCAGACCTGTAATCTTGGTATTAACAGAATATAAAGAGGCAATAAAACAGGAATCAGTATCATGGAAGTAGTAACCCCATGATCATTTGCACACAGACATAGCATATTTACTTTTCAAAAAAAATTTATATATGTCGATAATTAATTCACATGCGCATTGTCATTTCCAGGATCTCTCTAGGGTTTCCTTTCCCTCTAAAAGAATGGCAAACAACATTGATATCATCCTAAAGACAAAGAGGGATAAATTCAACTATCAGTTTCGTCCTAGTATTTGGCCCTCTCTTGAAGAGCTCAGAGACCTCATGAATTGTCAACAAATGGGCATTTTTGGTGAAAGATATGGGAATCTCCTATCTTTATTGGATGCTCGGGTTGACGATAAGTATGTACAGACTTTGTTACAATTTTATGATCCGGAGTTGCGTTGTTTCACATTTCAAGACTACCAGTTAGCACCTACTCTTGAGGAGTATGCTCATCTTCTCCACATTAAGCTCACCAGTCATGTTCCATTTGTTCGAGTCCCTATTGAGCATGGCTTTGAGGCCATTGATAAGGTTCTTTATTTGAGCCTTAGCGATGTAAAAGGGAAATGGAGACGTAACAAAGTCACTTGTGGTATTCCTGTAGATTTCTTGGTAAGTAAGGCTAAGGAAATGGCAAACGCAGGAAATTGGGATGCTTATTATGCTCTGTTGGCTGCTATCATTTACGGAGTTGTCTTATTCCCTAAGATTAAAGAAATCGTAGACTTGGCTTCTCTTTGCGTCTTCATGAATAAGAATCCTATACCTACGCTATTAGCGGATACTTACCACACCATCCACTCCAGGCATGGAAAGAAAGGAGTAGTGGTATGTTGTACACCTATGCTTTACAAATGGTTCATGGCACAGTTACCCACCAAAGGGCCATTCAAAGAAGATCCTCGTTCATGGGCATCCAAAGTAATGACACTCACCTCTTTCGATATCCAATGGTACAAGCTTAAGGTGGATAGCTCCAAAGTCATCTCTCACTGTGCAGGTTTCTCTAATGTTCCGCTCATGGGAACAAAAGGGGTTATCAACTACAATCCAGTACTCTCTCTTCGCCAATTAGGTTATGCCATGAGGCGTCCACCCACGACCAAGGAGGTCGAACCTATGTATTTCAAAAAAGGAGAAGATCCAGAATTACTGTAGAAGGTGGAAATTGCTTGGGCACATGTGGGGAGGAAGGGAAAAGAATTCTTCGGGCTAAAAGAGGTATTAGCTTTTGATCCTTACGTGGATTGGTTGAAGGAAAGAGTCAAAACTCTTATGTTGCCTTTTGAAAGGGAAATCTTTTTGTATCTTCAACCCACTGAGTTACAACACGATGTGCCTAAGAAATGTTTCTATCAAGTACAATTGGAGAATAGGGACCTTCGCCAGAATTTGGAAGACAAAAAAATGGAAATATATTTCTTAACAGAAAAGAAAAGGGACTTGGTCCGTCAGCTAAAAGAGTATGAAGGGGAAACTAGTTCCAAGAAATGACCCAGAGCTGAAAACTCTTTTGTGTCTACGGAAGAATATCAGATAGCCCTTGCTGATGCAGAAAGGAATCGTCAAGAAACTTTGAAATTTCAGATGGCCAACAATAGGAACAAAGCCAAAGTCAAGGAATTGGGAAACTAATTCAAAATTGCTAGGATGGAGTTGGAAGCAAAAGAAGATCAAATGACCGAAGTACTGAAAGAGAATGCAAGACTCTGAGACAAGATCAAGGAAATGGAAGAAGCGCCTGTGCCTATACCTTTACCAGAATGTAAATAATGTGATTGCTTCCTAGAGCAATGTGTGTACTTAGAGGGACAACTATATCGGAAAGATGTGGTGATCGATAGCTTCGCTCGTGGACAGGATCATGAAAAGACAAAGAAATTATTTGAAGAAACAAAGGAATGGAGTGAGGAGTACTTCCGGCAAGGAGGACCATTGTACTACACAGAGATTAGAGATCCACTCTGTTGATTATCTTGTTCTCCCCTTTTATTTTATTTTTTTCTTTTGATCACCACCAGTCTTGTTGGATGGGGTCATTTAGATTTCATTGCAGTTTCTGAATCATGCTTGTAAGAAGATACCATTGGATCATATGAATGATGTTTTTAATGAGATCAATTGTTAATCAAAATTTATTCCCACTGTTTGTCTCTCTTATCATTTTGTTTAAAATTCCTAGGGGTAATAAAACTTGGGATGTCCTGGAAATGATATAACATCACATACACAATCATGCATTCATGCACATCATAATATGATAAATAATTATGGAAGGTCTTCTTATTCCTTGATTTGGGCCTCCCCTTTGCAGAAGATAGCCACTACAAATTCCCATTGTTATAATACTCGAAGCACCTCCAAAAGACAGATGGAACAAATTCAAGCAGATGTTGTGGCTATGGGAACCAGGATGTATACTCGAGTCGATCAGTTGATGGAGATTATTCAGAACATGGCTCGTCAACAGGAGGAAATGAGGGCCATGATTGTGAGGCCTACTGAAGCATTGAATAATGGGGGTTAAAATTTGAATGCTGGTACACCATGGGTCGTCATCAATAATCCTAACAGTATTCCAGGGGCTCAGGACATAGTGGAGAATCCGGGAGGAACTCGAAATGTGAATATCGGTTTGAATACCCAAAATGGTCAGCATGCAAATTTCAGCAACCTTATAGGTAACCAAGGCATCCTTGGGAATCAAGTTGTGGGAAACC